ATTTGGTCTCATTGTGTGATTGATTTATTGCTTTATTGTTTATGCTGTGCTGATTGATATTTTCATTTGGATATCAAGTTGGTATTTTGATGAGGAACCTATTTTGATACACAAAGAGGGAAAGAATTATTCCGCATTAACAGGTTTCTTCCCAACACAATTAGAGGAATCATCGTTTATCAATGGAGAGAGAAGAAGGACCAAAGATAAAGTCAAATAACTATCGTGGCACCGCTTGTGATTAGGGATTGAATGTGTACAATGTATGGGCCATGACGAGGAGTTATTATTATTGAATGAAGAGATATTTTATTTAATTTAATTGAACCAAATGGTTCTTAATTGAATTATAATCGATTCAATCAAGGTTCACCTATTCTAATTCGAAATAACAAAAACCTAACCTATATAGTGTTTAGACCTACTATCTCAGCCCACATATTAATGGGTCGGAGTACTCTACCTATCTTGTAATTTTACGAGTAATATAAAATACCTCTTATCTCTACCCCCACCTTGCTTATTTTTCATATTATCATCTTATAGGGGTGAGTTCTCGGTACCTATACCGATTCGTATAATTATCATTCTTATTATGAATATTATCTAAAAAATACAATACTCACCATTTTCTTATCAAATTTACTATCAGCACTTAATTAAGAACATTAATTCTTATCTAGAGTATACCAATTTAGTTGTTGCTAGATAATTGGACCATCAAGCAATAGTAAGAGAGAGATAATAAATCGACTTAAGTTAAAAAATAAAATCAATATAAATTCCACTATTTGTATCTAGTGTATATGATGAGAATATGGTTATAAGTAATGCAATACCACAAAACTCAATTTACATTATTTGATAATATTTGCAAGAATATGTGCTTTTTTTTAAATCAAATGATTACGTAAGCAAACGAAAGTTATATAGAAATATTAGCCAAAATATAAAGGATAATTTACTAAAAAAATTCTAGTAATGAATTTTTATTGGATAGCCCCGTCATATTTGGATTTTATCAAGGATATTCTTTTTATATAAAATCTTGATAATACCTTTGAATTGGGCTATTTGGTTCAATTGGGGTGTCTCAATGAGGTCATGTTGATTTAGGTTGGATCCTTTCGAATCCGGTCGGGTTGAATCCCTTTCACTAACCCTATGAAATCCTCCTCCTCTCACTCCACCTCTACTATCTCTTCCAACTCTCTTCCATCTTCACCACCTTCTACTTCTCCTCCCCCACCTCCTCTTCCTCCTCTTTTTCAACTACTCCGTCCCTCTCCCTCCTATTCCTTCGTCTTTATCTCCTTTTTTATAATTTAACCTAGAAAAATCATATTATGCTGAAGTTAAATTTGGATTATAATCGAGTTATATTCATTCATTTATATAATCTATTAAAAATATGTTAAATTTTATATAAATTTATTCTAAATTTATAATCAATAAAATTAGTACAATTTTATTAAAAATCATATTCAAGTAAAAAATCTCAAAATTTTGATAATTAATTATCCAAAAATATCTATAAATAAAAATTTATTAATTTTAAGATAGGTTAGGTGATCAAGCTTAACTTAGTATAATTTCAAGTTTAACTTAATTGACATAAAAAATAGGAAAAAAGAAATGTAAGATTTTATGATTAGTTTTATGATGAATTTAAGATATTTTTATGCATAATTTAATATATTTTTAATATGTTCTATTAATAAATATAAGTTTAGTATAATCAAATCTAGTCAAAGGGTAATCATTTTTTAGGATTTGGTTAAAGATATTTTGGTCAAAGTCTAAGAAAAGCTCACTGTAAAAGTCAAATATGATAAAAGCTCATTAGAAATATAAATATTTTAGCAATACAAATACAAAAATATTGTATGAATTTAGAGAAAACTTAGAAATCTAGTATAATTAAAATAAAAACTTTTAAGCCCTCAAACTTCATGCATTGACATAAGAAAGGTTTATGGTAGTGGTAGTGACCTATTATAAGTTCATGAAGTTTCGGATTAATTTTTAATATTTTTGATATCTTTCCCTATAACATAAGGTTTAAATGTGTTAAAATTAAATTTCTGTTGTAATAACTTTTATATTTTCAGGATATGTTTGGCCCTCAAATTTTAGTAATTTTACGAAATCTTTTGTCTTCTTTCATAACCATTTTAATATTTAAAAAATTAAATTATGACATAGTTTTGTTAAAATATTTAAATTGATAAAAATTGGATAATATTTAGATTACTACTACTACTACTACTACTACTACTACTACTACTACTACTACTACTACAACTACTAATAATAATAATAATAATAATAATAATTTCTCTATAATCAATTTTTTCATTAAACACAGTTAAACTCCAACAATATGACTTTAAATTTTGGTAAATTATGTTTATCACATATTTCTTCTTTTTTTTATATCTTTTGAATTGTTTGAATTTATCAAAGGCAGAAAAGGTGTAAAAGGATAGAAAACGAAGCAAATTACTATGAGGAGTAACATTAAAAATCCAAATATATATATATATATATATATATATATATATATATATATATATATATATATATATATATGATAGTAAAGGAGAATAATAATTTTTTCTATGGTAATACTTTTGTTTCAATTATACTAGCAATCAATTTGTATAATTTTTAAAGATTTTACAACATAAATATATATTGTATTTAGAGAGACAAATACGAAATTTATCTAACTTCGAAGGGGCATATATGTGATTTGCTTTCTTTATTTTCTCCTATGATTTCTGAGAGAGAGAACACGAGGGTTTTTGAGAGGAGAGAAACCCTAACGAGAAGGGGACAACGAACGAGAAGCGACATGAAAGAGCCGAAGGAGAAGAAGAAAGGAGCCGAAGTAGCCGCCGGCGCAGGCGGAGAAGGCCTTTTTGCCTCTTGCTCCTTCTCCGATCTAGGCCTTCATCCCTTCCTCTGCCAACACCTCCGAGGTCTGTACCTCTTCCCTCCCTCCCTCCCTCTCTTGCTTTCTTAATCATCATCTTCGTTACGTTATCGAACTTGTCTGGTGACAGATAAGATGGGTTTCGAGTTCCCCACGCAGATCCAGGCACAGGCCATTCCTGTCGTCGTCTCTGGACGGCATGTGTATCCTTCTCGGTATTTCTTGCTTTTGTTCGCATTATGTGATAGTTTTTGTGTTTTCCTTTCGTTTTTGGGTTCTCTTTGTGGATTTTCTTTGACTGCGAAGGCTTTAGACTTGTCAATGCTGCTACTGGCACCGGCAAGACGATCGTGTACCTTGCCCCGATCGTCCACCTTCTGCAGATGTATGAGCCGCGAGTTCAGCGATCTGATGGGACCTTTGGTATGCTTATATTGCTTGACATCTGCTCCTGCAGTTCTTTCTGGCCAATACAAGTTTTCTTTTTCTCGTATTACGTTTTTTTTTAATTAACAGAGTATCCCCAATCTTTCAAGATTAGAACCGATAAGTGATGGTATACCTTGGAAGAAGGAAATAAATGCACTCTTTATAGAAATATTGGTATATATGCAAAAATTGTGGACATCTATCTTTGTTATGTTTTCAATAAGTTGTGTGAGTCAAAGCACAACAGTGACATGCTCTGCTTTCCCTCTTATACAATGATATAACCATATTAAACTCATTCTAGAGAGTTTACTTGGTAGATCATCTGGATTGCCTTTGTTTTCTTTTGGTTTTCGATTTTAGAGTTCATGATTTTGTTTATTATAGAATTACTTGACTAAAATGATAATAGCGTTGGTTCTTGTTCCAACGCGAGAACTGTGTATGCAGGTCCATGGAGTTCTGCAGAAACTATTGCATTGTTTCCATTGGATAGTTCCTGGGTATATAATGGGTGGAGAAAACAGGGCAAAGGAGAAAGCCAGGTTGCGGAAAGGTCTGAATTTTCTGTGCCTTTTTTAGTTAGTGATGCATATGAACTACATGTGGATCTGCTCTTGTTTGGTTTTGTGGAGTTCCTACTCCAAATGGCTTTCGTTGCAACTTAGAGTTGGCACTTGTATCACTCATGTTCCTGAAAGTGGCTTATCAAGGATTTTGTTGAAACTGTTAAGTGTGTTTGACGTGTTGTGAGTAAACATACGTTGAGTGTACCCTAAAGAATTTTGCTTGTTTGGAACTGTGATCACAGTAACTGTTAGGTATCAAAAGATTATACCCCTTTCTTGGCAATTATAGTAACTGTTTGTGTGTTTTGGAGAGTAGCGCATGGTGAGAATCATAGAGGTGGAAACTACATTATTTCCTGCTACTATGTGTGTTGCTTGAAAGTAATGATGTCATGTTTTAGCTATGTTTATCTAAAATCTCTGTGCTAGAAAAACATGGTGATGTTGCATGCTCTTGATTGATATGGCTGTGTCCAGGAATATCCATTCTGGTAGCTACTCCTGGGCGTCTCTTGGATCACTTAAAGAATACTTCATCATTCAATTACACAAATTTGCGTTGGATCGTCTTTGATGAAGCTGACAGGTTTGATATTTTGAAAGCACTTCATGTTGTTTCTTTATTACTTTTGTTAATCACGTGTCATTCAACCTGATCAATCACAATAAATCCCATGTTTATCTCTCTCTCTCTCTCTCTCTCTCTCTCTATCTATATATATATATATATATATATATATATATATATATATATATGTCTCTCTATTTCTCTCATTTTGTGTCCTAGCATTTAAGGATAAACCATTTGCATTCTCTTTTTATTTTCTAAATGATGAACAGGATCCTTGAATTGGGATTTGGGAAAGCAGTAGAAGAAATACTAGATTTTCTGGGTTCAAGACAAGCTGATCATGTCTGCAAACAGCATATGAACACAAAGTCTGCCAAATTTTCAAGGCAGAACTTACTTCTTTCAGCAACCTTAAATGATAAGGTCAACCATTTAGCAAATATCAGTTTAGAGAACCCAATCATGATTGGCATGGATTGCAAGAAGGATTCTACTGTACCACTAAAGCTGTCATTAGGCGATGCTGTCGGTGGAGATTTGGAAGGCGTTGGTGCATTATCAAGTCAGCTGACAGAAAACTATAACCTTCCTTCTCAGTTAGTTCAAAGATATGTTAAAGGTAAGTTCTTCCTACATGCATCATCTTTCTATTAATTATCCATTTGCTTGCATGTAAAGTAACTTGTTTGGCACACTAATTGCAGTGTCTTGTGGTTCAAGGCTTGTGGTTCTTCTCTCTATTCTTAGATTTGCTTTTGAAAGAGAAACCTCCCAAAAGGTGAATTCAGGGTTGGAGTTATTTTTGACAATTTTTTATCTACCAGATGCTATGATCTGCTTTAGTTACATATGATATGTATGTCATATATTATTGATGTTCTTATTACAATTCACTTGATAAATTCTGTTTTGTTCCCATTGTTCAGTTTAAGCATTCATGTTCACTTACAGGTTCATTCTACAGATTGTGGTTTTCTTTTCAACATGTGATGCAGTAGACTTCCATTATTCACTTTTAAACAAATTTAAGTGGTCTCCTAAGCTGCAACCAGAGGCAAATCAAGAGCAAAAAATTGTCGGTTGTAGATCCTTCCATTTGCATGGGAATATGGAACATGAAGATCGTAGAAAAGCATTTCACGAATTTACTTCTGAAAAATCAGCTTTACTATTGTGTACGGATGTTGCTGCTAGGGGTTTGGATTTTCCAAAGGTCAGGTGCATCATCCAATATGATTCTCCAGGGGAGGCTTCTGAATATGTGCATAGGTATCATCATCCTACATCTTTTGTTGCTTGTTCAAAGCGCAAAACAGTTATGTTATATTTGGCTGACAGTTATTTCGTTACCCTTGCTCTGTTAGGGTCGGAAGAACGGCAAGGTTGGGTGAGAAAGGTGAAGCTTTGCTATTCCTTCAACCAGTCGAGATTGATTATTTGCATGATTTGCAGCATCATGGTGTCAGCCTAAAAGAATATCCACTTCAAAAGATAATAGACAGTTTCTCAGTGCATGGGCAGAAGCACCATAACAAGAAGCTAATTTCTTTGGAGACACATCCATGGGTATTATTTCTGCAGAAGACACTTGAAACCTTTATTTCAACGGAGGTAATAGCTTGTCACCTGTTGAATTATTTGTTAATAGCTGGAAGAAGTATTGCTGCTTGGTAGTGATCTCAGAAAAATATTGCTTCCAACGGCACGTTTACTTTATTTTGCATCATGTTTACCTCAGACCATGCCACCTAGATTGCTAGATCAATGCACTTTTGCCTCTCGCCTCTTGAGCATAATATATGCCAATTGCTACATTTGATATTAGTTGAGCATCATGATGGTTAATATATACCTTAAAACACTTGAAAATTAATTTACTCAAATAAGAATGTACTAAGTTTCTCTGATTTTGTGCAATTTTCAGTGGTTTCTGGTTATTAAATATGTTCCCAGTTGGATCAGACCTTTTTGTCGAACCAATTGATTTGTTCATAATAGTTCTATATATATTTTATAACATCAAGCAAGGTGTTCCATTCTGATAAACTTGTTTGATGATGATTAGCTAATTCCTGTAGTATTATTTCCTTCTCTTTTTGATCCAAGTTACTTTTTGATTGTTCAGTCCAAACTGAAGAAGCTAGCCAATGATGCATTCTGCTCCTGGGTTCGGGCATACACTGCTCACCGAGGTGAGCTGAAAAGAATTTTTATGGTTAAGAAACTCCATTTGGGGCACGTGGCAAGAAGCTTTGGGCTGAAAGATCAACCTTCATTGGTTGGAAGATCACACCAGATAGAATCCAAAAAGAGAAAGAGGGATCAGAAGAAAGCTATATCTTTCAAAAGAAGAAAGTCATCTTAGAAAAGCTCACTGCTAGCTAAGCATCGATAGGTATTTATCCAACAAACTATGGTGAAGTTAACGTGTGTTGCTCTTTCTGTACACTATAGGAGGGTGTTTGTGGTCAAAATTATGATGAGTATACCTCTTTTCAATTATTTATATCAACTATTGTATAATCTTTTTTTTTCTTTCAGTTATGTGATTCAAATTGCAGTCAAATTTTATCCTTTTGCTGGTTCATCTGAAGGATTCATGCAACAAAGGATGCTGCAGATATTCGTTTTCGCCGTTAAAATTATTTTTTTTTGGCAAATCATTACTGATGAGTTGATGGGAAAAATTAAATTAAATCGTGCCCTTTCTTACTCTACTAGAGGCATGTGTGTCGAGCATTAGGGAAGTCTAGCAAAACTTTTCTCCAGGCAGCAAGAGGAAATTAATCGTCAGCTAACAAATTCGAGGGTGCAGGAAGAAGCAAGCGACAGTGGTATCAACAAAAATACGGGGCTGAATGCACCAACGAGTCCCTCCCATCAATGCCGTATGACCCCAAAGTTCTTCACCCTTTTAATTTCCATACGAATGTGTCAATAATCTTTTTAAATACATAAATTAAAGATTAACCTGAAGCTCTAAGTTTAAAATTTTTTCACAAGCATCTCAACTTCAAAAAAAAAAAAAATTAGAATTTTTTTTTAAATGGTCAATCTATCGTAATCCATTATCGTTCGTCCATCGATCACTCACTTCTACTTTATCGATCTTGTTTTTCTAATTGTCATTATCTTTGCATATGAGTTGATCTTGTTGATTACTTCTCTTCGTGTGCACGATACCTTTAGGGTTCAACGAGGGTACAGAAAGAAGCAAACTGGTATCAACAAAAATATGAGTAAGATTATCATTTCACGTGGCTACGAGTACTATTTAATTTTTTTAAAAAAATTAAGATGCTCAATGAGAAATTTTCAAACTTAAATTTTTTTTAGAATTTATCCTATATAGATGAATTTTTTAAAAAAATCTCTAAGTTTTGTGTGTCTATATATATATATATATATATATATATATATATAGT